TAACAGACAAACTGTCTCCAGTTGTCTATCAGATAAAAATCAGTAAAGGCCAAAAAGAGCCAATTGTTAAATGGGTACATCGTAACCAGGTTAAACCACACAAGGTGTGCAAAGAAACCACTCAAACGGGACAGCGTGACTGAATTTGACAACCAGGGCGAGAAGGAGCAGTGAAACGATGTTTCTAGATGCTTAGTCACTACTCTTGTCGATGTTGAAACGTTGTTTATTTGGTTTTGGTATTGTTTCAGAGTCAGAGTCAGAGTTTCTTTATTGTCATTCGCACCTCATGTGGTACATGTGGTGGAGCGAAATTATGTACACGGGGTTCCAGTTACATCCGACAATAAAATGTATAAGAAAAACAGTAATAACATCTAAGATATGAACTAAGAAAATTATCAACTAAATATACACTAAGCACTCATAACATAAAACATTGAACATCAGCACAAACATGCACATGAGTCTGTGAGCAGATGTGCACGCATGAACACATCAACATTGAAACAGATCAGCAGCAACATGAAACAGATCAGCAGCAACATGATATGGTTTTTCACAGTGATTATTCTAGTTAGAGATTCATGAGTCTAACAGCCTCAGGGTAGAAGCTGTTCCTCAGTCTAGTGGTTCTACACTTAATGCTCCTTAACCTCCTTCCTGAGGGGAGTGGGGCAAAAAGTGTGTGTGCTGGGTGGGTGGGGTCCTTCATGATGCAGGTGGCCCTCTTCCTGCATCTGGAGGTGTAGATGTCTGTGATGGTGGGGAGACTGATTCCAACAGATTTCTGAGCAGCCTTCACCACTCTCTGCAAAGCTTTTCTTTCTGCAGCTGTGCAGCCTCCATGCCACACATTGATGCTCGAGCACAGGATGCTCTCCACTGCACACCTGTAGAAGGAGGTGAGGACTGAGCTTCCCAGACCAGCTCGCCTCAGCCGTCTGAGGAAGTAGTCTCTGATGAGCTTTCTTGATCAGGCTGGTGGTGTTGTTGCTCCAGCTGAGGTTGTCATTCATGTGTACACCCAAGTACTTGTAGGTGGAGACCACTTCCACCGCAGATCCTCTTATGTTCAGGGGGGTGTAGGTGTTTTTGTTCCTTCTGAAGTCCACAATCATCTCCTTTGTCTTCTTCACATTGATGTGAAGGTTATTCTCTCTGCACCAGCTCTCCAGGTGTTCCACCTCTTGCCTGTAGCTGGACTCATCATTGTTTGTGATGCATCCCACCACCGCTGTATCATCTGCAAACTTTACAATGTGACAGCCTGGATGGGTAGCTGCACAATCATATGTGAGCAGAGTAAACAGAAGGGGGCTCAACACACATCCCTGAGGAGAGCCAGTGCTGAGGGTTATGGTGGAGGAGGAGAGGTTGTGGATCCTCACTAACTGTGGTCTGTTTGTTAAAAAGTCTAGTACCCAGTTGCAGATGGAGGGGCTTAGTCCTAGTGTGGATATTTTGTCCATCAGTGTTTGGGGGATCATGGTGTTGAAGGCGGATGTGAAGTCCACAAAGAGCATACGGACGTAAGAGTTTTTCTGCTCCAGGTGGTTGAGCGCAGTGTGGACCACAGAGGAGATTGCATCCTCTGTTGATCGGTTCTCACGGTATGCGTACTGATGAGGGTTCTCGTTGATGTTGATGGTTGTTTTGATGTGAGTCATGACCAGTTTTTCGAAGCATTTAGCGACTATCGGGGTGAGGGCCACTGGCCGATAGTCATTCAGACCAGTCACTGTAGAGCTTTTTGGGACTGGGATGATGGTGGCAGTCTTCAGGCAGGTGGGAACTGTCTCCAGGGTAAGTGAGGTGTTAAAGATGTCTGCCAGCACCTCACAGAGCTGATCAGCACATTCCTTCAACACTTTTCCGGGGATGTTGTCTGAACACCCCAAGGAAGAATGAATTTTGTGTGTAGTTAAGTTAGAGACTAAGAGGCCTTTAACTATGCCAACATGCAGTTCATTTGTTAAAATCTAATCTTTGCGGAGTCAATGTAGATTAATGCTACCTTAAGTACCATAATCTACATTGGTCTCACAACGCTTAAGCCGAACCTACTCGAACAATTCTATTCGGGGGGATAGCTAATTCTTTTTGATGAGTCTCGCCATAGACTCCAAAAACATTTATGGGGAAACCAAACACCCAATCTCAAGTCGTTCATCTAAAAGGACAACAGACAATTGAACCGAACTATATTTTGCCATGTAAATCTAACTTAAACCAAGTTAGGAATGGAAAAATAGTTTGGAATGCCCTTCTATAGGTATGAATCCCTATATGAAACTTTTTCAGCATGTTCCACCCCTTAACTTGTAGCTGTAGCTGTTCCCAATCATAATAGCTTACACACCAGGTGCATATAGGTTAAGGCCTTATGTAAAATCCCCTTCATAAGCCCACCTTAAACCACATAATTGCATGACACATTGAACCAGAACGGCACTGGCTGGACATCCACCCAGCGACGACCTTCGCTGGAGGAGACCTGCAATCCTGACGTTGGTCTCCAATCTTCATCCAGTGGCCGCATCTTCAGTTCAATCCAAGGGAACCCCTCTGTATGCTGATCAATCAACACCTCCATTCGTTGTGGATTTACCGTTGTGGATTATATGACTTTTCCAATGGATTACAGACTCTGTTTCCAAGGGGTTAAAGCATTGCTACAATGGAATTACCAACAACATTATGGAATTACCAATAACACAATGGAATTACCAAAAACATTGTGGGATTACCTTCTTTGACTTTTGTTTTCCTTGCTGGATTACATCAAGCTCAAGGACATTCAAAGGCGTAAGTTCATGTTGGAATTCATCCCCATGGACAGGCGATGATTTCCAAAGGGGGGACTGTAGTGAACTAAGCCTCAGGTCAAATCTGGCCCTGAGGGCCTTCCTGGGACAAGAACTGTTATTTCATTGATTTGAGTCCAGAAACACAAAATCAAGTCCATCCAGAGACTTTCTAAGTGTGTCCTGCACTGATCAATTGAAAGAACACTCTCTTTTTTATTATCATTACTATTTTACAAATGTCTTGATAATCAAAAGTGTGTTTAATTCAAATCATTTTTAAATGTTGAAGTGAACTACTTATTTTAACTCAACTGTGAAACAGTATTAATGATTTTTAATCCTCATTCAAAGTAGAAATCTAGTTAATGTCTGTTACAGAGTAATTATTCATTTTCTTGATCTTCTGACTGAAATGAGCAGGTTGTAAGTCGGTCAAACGTCGGAGACAAACGCAAACAAGTTTGTTGGAACGAACTGTCATGTTTTTAAATCCTCTCAGACGTAAATAGAGAAGCTGGCACCTGTTTCCTCCCAACTCGCCTAAACATTTCTCTTGTCTGTCTCAAAAACATTTTCTGTCTGTTCCAAAACATTTTTCTGTTTTTCTGACTTCTAGTGACCTTTTACGTCATAAAAACACACCCCTGATTAGCTCTTTCAGCCAATCAGGACTTCCCAAATGAACCGGAAACAGAACTCTTTAAATGTCGACACTTCCTAGTTCCAACCAGTGCGGTGGGAGAGCAGTTCAGTTCGGAGGGCAGAACCGAACAGAAAAGTTGCTGGAGAGAACAGGAGGTTCCAGACATGATCCGAAGTTCTTCCGAGTCTTGTGGGAATTATGGAATCTTCCACATCTGAGTGGAGCCTCTGACGGACTTACTCCTCATGTGAGTCCACCCGTGGGGTGAACGTGTGTCGAACGAAGTACCGTCACTACTTCGGACGATTCACAGCTGTTCCTACGGAGACGCTGGAAAGGTGGCGTTAAATGGAACTCCGTACCAGTGGAGACATCTTCTACAGGTAAAGAGTCGATTTCCACTACCTAAGTGTACCGAGGTGAAGCTGGGATCGAATGGAGAGTGCCGTTCTGATACAGACACATATTCCTTCATCCATCCATCTCTCTCCATTTAAACTTCATTTCTCATCTTTAAAACTCTTTTATCTTGCCAGTAAATCATCCAGATATTTTCATAAATGTCTGTTGTAATTAAGCTGTGTTATTGCTTCAATCAGAATAATCACGTGTACAATGTTTGATGTTAAACTTTGATTCTGTTAATAAATGACCGCATTCATTTGATGGGTCAAAGAAAATTAACGTCTCACGTCACTGATCTCTGTCACATATCTGTCAAGTAGCTCGAAAAAGAGAGAACCCGTTTAAATTAAGTATAATATCAGGTACTTGAACTAGTCTAGATATTATAACATGTAGTGGAGCTAACGAAGCTAACGGACCTGTCACACTACACTTCTGCAAGGTAAAGAGTCGATTTCCACTACCGAAGTGTACCGAGGGGAGCTGGGTCGAAAGGAGGGTGCCGTTCGTTATCAACACACTTTCCCTCATCCATTTTCTCTCCATTTAAACTCCTTCATTTTCCCATCTTTAAACTTCTATCTTGCCAGTAATTAATCCAGATATCTTCAGAAATGTCTGTTGTTTCAAAAGCTGCAAGTGAGATATCATGGCCGTATGATTTCTCATTGCAAAGCTCATTAATTAAGCTGTGTTAATTGTAATCAATCTGCCAATTAATGTAAATGTATGATGTGTTTTTAAATCGTTTAAAATAAACGACCCACTGTTGTTGGTGAGTCAGAAATTTAAACACGTCTCTGTCCACATTTACTCCACAAAGCACGATATGACTTAGTCCAGAAAAATGAAAGAATCCGTTTAAATGAAGGATAATATCAGACGCATATTATCTCATTACACCAACATTATCCAGTCTGTACCTCTCAACCTCGCGCACAAGCTCAGGCTCCTTCCCTGCCAGAGAGGTTACATTCCATGTCCCAAGAGCTAGCTTTGGTAAGCCAGGGTCAGAGCGCCAAGGTCCCCGCCTTCTGTAAGGCAACAGAATGGAAAGAATAGCAATGGGGTAAAAATCCACTGTGTTCAAGACGTTATGGTGTTTGCAACCTTTTGACATCAGTTTTGTTTTATTTCTTCAGGTATCTCATTAACCCAGAGCAAACGCTACAACTCCATTATGTGAAAGTAGAGGATGCTGGGAAGTACATATGCACTGCTGTCAATCATGTAGGTGTCGTCTCTGCTGCTGCACAACTACTAGTAGAAGGTAACTTGATACTAAAAACAAATTTCAGTATAGCAACAAATGATTTTACTGTTTTATTGATCTTTAGCAGTTGAATTGCAGAGGTGGTTGGCTTTAAAAGCTCAGTTTTGAGCTGAAACTCAATGTGAATGTGAAAGTGAATATCTTGTGTTGTATAAAAGCACCCTGAGTGATGAAGATGAAGAAAAACCCTCTATATTATTGTAGTTTATTTTTTAAACCAATTTTACCAACCCTCAGCTTTGGTGTGGGCCTGTCAGTATCAACCAGTTTTGTTTTGTACTTTAGATACAATGAAGATGAGAGTGCTTTGACATAATGCAGTGATCCCCTGCAAAGTCACAGTTCAGAGTTTGCAAACTTAGGGTGCATTCACACCAGCCCTGTTTAGTCCACTTTAATCAAACTAGCTCGTTTTCCTAGGAAGTCCGGTTCCTTTGGGAAGGTGTGAATGCGCCATCAAACTCTGTCACGGAACAAAAAGGCGATCTCTGGCCCAGGCTAAAACCTAGGTCTCGGTCCAGTAAAAGAGAACTCCAGCGCGGTTCGAGTACAGTGTGAATGCAAGCAGACCGGGCCCCGTTCCACAAGCAAGAAGTGGAGTACAGCGCAGGACAAACAAACACGCATTTCTCTTACCTTATATGGAGCTGTCAGCTTCCTTGTGTGAAAAACGTTGGTTACGTACTGTAACCCCAGATTCTATGAGTATAGGCGTAGCCCTTTAAGGCTGTCGCTGGTGGAGTTATCCCGTCATGCAAAGCTTCGCACTGAAAAAATTTAGTCCACGCCCACCTGTTGTGTGGGCCCCACCCGGTCCGTATAAATTACGTTAAGAGCGGGTAATCGGCTCCCAAATAGCTTTTTTCTTCAGCCATTTAGGAGCCAGTGAGGCCCGATGCTTAAAGGGCTACGCCTATACTCATAGAATCTGGGGTTACAGTACGTAACCAACGTTTTATTTTGTATAGGCTTCGCCCTTTAAGGCTGTCGCTGGTGGGTTAAGGGCGAAGCATGATGTAGTCTATGCCTCACCGGGTCCATTCGAACACCATATGAAGTGTCCTCTTGCTCAAAAAACATCTTGTCACTCAGCTCTCCATGTGTATAAATACGCGTTGTGTAATTACGCACACCATGCACAGACGCGCACTGCGTAGTTTACGCATTCCGAGTGCCTGAACACCCCGGAAAGATTTTCAACAGGAAAGAGGAGAAGCTGAAAAAGGCCGTGAACAGAGCAGATCCACAACTCTTCAATATGAACAGATTAATAATAAGTTAACTGATTATTAATCAAATAAACTGATTGATGACAGAAGTCATGAACTGATTAGTGACAATAGAACAAAAACAACAGTCATAACCTGTGACTGATAACAACATCTCACACTGTAAATGCATGCAGTCAGATGTGAGTTTAAACGAGATTCCATGAAACAATAATATTCATTCTGTTAAGGCACTAAGGACAGAATGTGTCATGGAATGAGCCGACACATCACGTAAATAGAAGCAAATAAATGAACGCCAGATTTCTGTCCATCAACTGCTGCGGAAAGGACAGCACGCCACCTAGTGGACATGAGGTGGCCTCTACATCTTTCTCCTTACACCAGTGCTGAAAAAACTGTCCACTTTGATATGTACAGCGCTGTGGTGTGAAACCTGGATCATGCACACCACATCTTGAGAGAGACCCATCCTCTCTAAAACAGATCCACTCAGCAGCCAAACCCAAAGGGGCTGGCCTATTTCTGGGTAACTCCTGATCGTTCCTCCCGCCTGGAGGAGAGCATCCTCCCTCCACGGCAGTTTCCACGGGCGTCCCGATAACAAGCGTCGTAGACTTGGGAACCACAGGGCGTTCACATGCTCGGGAGCCACCAGGAGGTCTGTCAGTCCCTCCTCCCTAACTCGGTTCAGAAACCATGATATCAGATGGAGTGGGGAAATGCATAAAGAAGCATTTTGGGCCACGGGCTGTGAGCAAACGCGTCCACCCCTAGCGGTGGTTCGTCCCACGGGCTCAGTGAGAACCATAGTTGACACTGAGCGTTCTCTTGTGTGTCAAACAAGTCCACGGCCACTCTGCCAAATTTCTGTCACGTCTGAGCCATCAACTCGGGATAGAGACTCCAGTCCCCGTGACGCGGACCGCCCCTGGACATCACATCCTCCCTTCTGTTCAGAACATCAGGGATGTACACTGCTCTGATGAAGAGCAGATTTTGGTGTGCCCAACACAGCAGCCATCTGTGTTTATCAACACATGTTGATTCTACAGCACAGGAGCAAAATGTTTAATCACATTCAAAACCGTGTGAAACTCCAAAACATTTATATGAGCTGCTATGTGGGGTGGCCACAGTGCCCCCACAGCTCGAGACATGCATGTGCCTCCCCAGCCTGACAGGGACATGTCTGTGAAGACTGACATGTGTGATGTAGGTCTGCTGATGGGGACTCCCTCCGACAGAACAGAGGGTTCCCCAGTGTCTCAGGTCGATTCTCACGGAGGGGGGCACAGCGATCAACCATCTTTTCTGCCTCACCGGGTCCACACGCAAACGAGCGAACCACCTCTGGAGGCGTCGCACTGTGTGAGCAGACGACATGTCCTTAATAACTTCATGACGGAAACGGCTGTTATCACTCTGCCTGCTTCACGTAGAGGAGTTGGTCTTTAGAGCTTTGGTTCCCGTCTGAGATAAACAAGCCCTAGTAGTGACCGCGTTTAGCTTCACTCCCAGATAACCGATTGTCTGGGCCGGGTGAACTGAGCTCTTCCCCCCGTTATGGTGAAGCCCAGATTTGCAAGTGTGACGTCAGCGCCTGAGTTGCACTGCTGCCACCTGTCTGGAAAATGGGTCAGCAGCAACAGATCGTCCAGACAAAACAGAATTCTCATCCCTGCTCTGTGTAGCGGCTGCAGAGCCGACTCGACGCATTTTGAATGGAATGTTGTCTCACAGTTGAAAATTGACAAATCTAATCTGGGTCTCATCCCTCTGGTCCGTTTTGGGACCAGGAAGTGATGAGAGGAGAACCCTGTGTTTTCCTCTCCTTCTGGAACCCTGGAAATTAAATTTTTTTATCAGAATTTTCTGAACTTCTGCGTGGAAGAACAAGATCTGTTCTGGGGATGACAGAAACGTCTCTAAAGTTCCTCCAAATGTGGGGTTTGAGCTGTAACTGCAGCATGTATCCCCTGCTGATAAGACGGTTCATCCATCTGTCTAGAGCGACTCTGTGCCGCGCTCAGGCTGCGGGCTCACATCCGTGCTGATGTGAGCTGGCGTGCGCTGAGGGGAGGCGCGTGCGCCCCTGGGCATTTGGAGCCGTGAGGTGAGAGCTGCTGATGCTGTGGGGGCGCGGCGCTTCTGTGCCGCGCTCAGGCTGCGGGCTCACATCCATGCTGATGTGAGCTGACGAGCGCTGAGGGGAGGCGCGCACGCCCCTGGGCATGCGGAGCTGTGTAGGTGAGGGCTGCCGTGGGGGCGCGATGTATCTGTGCCGCGCTCAGGCTGCGGGCTCACATCCGTGCTGATGTGAGCTGGCGTGCGTTTAGGGGAGGCGCGCGCGCGCCCCTGGGCATATGTAGGTGAGTGCTACTGCTGCCGCGGGGGGGGGGGGGGGGGGCCCCGCTGCAGTCAGAGAAGTGCACAGCTTGGGCTGAGCGTGAGGTTTCCCACTGGACTCGGTCTGCTGAAAACATTCACTTTGGCTGCTGTGTCACTCACGCGCGCATTTTGTGTGTTTTCTTGGGCTGCGGTGATTAAAAACCGGAGCCGGAGGACACCGGCTCACTTTGTGTGGAGGATGTATGAGGAGAAGCCGCTGTGAGATCATACGAACTGACAGTCAGGCTGAAATCAGACACTTTAATTCCTGAATTATGTTTACGTTTTATTCCAAAACTCAAACCATCATAATGCACACACACATCCTCCGCAATGAATCATTTTGATTCTTCTCTGGGGAAACGCAGCACCGCTGTTTGTCGGGATGAGGAGGGCTGTACTCTGACGGGAGGGGCTGGCGGCGGAGCGAGAAGACACTGCTGCAGCTGTGGCGCGTCTCTGCTGTCTCTAGCCACGGCACTCTCTCCAGCGGGCGGGGGGCAAGAGGAGGGGTGCGGCTGATCAGATGGCGCACAGTCTCTGACACCTCCTCCGACTTCTTCAATTTCTCGAGCATGGCCTTGAAATTGGCTCTGAACAGCACGCCCATCGTGATGGGGCCCTCCAGCAAGTCCATCTGCAGCTTCTCCGACAAGGAGGGGGAGCGACGAAGCCAGGTGGACCTCTGAACCATTGTCATCCAGGCTGTAACGCGAGACAGGCAGACAGCAGACGAGGCACACAGGTTGAGGGTGACGTCAGACGCCTTGCAGAGGAAGCTCTTAGTCTCCTGAGGCAGTTCTGTTCCCTCTAGCCACTGAGATGCTGTACGTCAGCGGCGCAACGTTATTGTTCGCTGCAGCTGCCTGGAACGCATACTGGTGAGCTCGGTTGGAGAGCGACATCACCGTCTGGTCATGCTTCCCCAGAGGCGCAGGACGCTGGTCCAACCTGGACATCTTGCTCCGAGACCCTCCGCCAGGCTTGGCTCCAGGGGGGCACCGAGGGAAATTTCGCTCAGTAAAACCCCTCCACTCTGATGATGGGCGCGAATGTGGAAACCGGCACTCTCAGTCTACCAGGTCTGGCTGCAGCCTTGTTCCAGTAGGACGTCACTGCTGGGAAACGAGGCCAGATGGGATCAGCCGGGGTGGAGCCAAAAACATTCCCGCTAGATCATCCGATCTGGGCGGGGGGAGGAGAGGGACGGAAAAAGAGAGGGACGCCTCCTGGATTATGCCAGGCAGCTCCGAGAGGAGGGCACCGACAGCTGGGAGCGGTGTGGTCGCCCATGCGAAAAGACCCGGGGAGGGTGAGCATCTGCTCAGCCCCCCTCGTTCCGACACTACGCTCTCCAGGAGGGAGTGAGCAGCGGGG